TATGTGTGAGTGTGGTGTATGTATGTGTGTTATGGGGGGGAGGTGTACAAAATATAATAACATTATATATAAGAAACAGTAAGGTGGACAATAATAAACTGTTTTATAATTCTTTTCAATTAAAATGTCAATGTTTTATTAAAAAAAAATTCAAAAATATTCTTATTTTTATTTAGTTGACACATATATAGATATATATATTGAAGATAATAATTTCGTTAGAAAATTTATATTTTAGACGAACAAAGTTTAGATAATTTTATATTAGCATTATGAAACGTAAAAATAATATATGAGAATTTCAAAAAAATTATTTGGAGTACGAATTCGAAGTTATTAAAAATATTGTTATCTCATTACCAGTCTAATAGCGTAAGCACCAAATCTATTAATTCCTCTACGAAGGGTATTGAATCCTTTGACAATCATGTTCTGTTCTGCCCTGCAAAGTTTGATAATTAAAAAGAAGTCGTTAATGAAACATTTTTTATACAAAAAAATATAAACTTAAATACTAACTTTAGTTTTACTGACGATAATTCTTGCGAATATTTAAATACAGATTTTCTCCTGCTGGTCGATGGATCTGCAGTATATCCATCCACTTGTGTATCATTCTTTAATGTGGTTCTGCGTGTTAGTTTCTTCCCTTTTTTTCTATCCTGTAAAAAGTGTTCGATGATTCACAGTAATGTAGCATCCTGGTATTTTAAAATGTTCAATTTATATCTTCCCTTCATATTATTTTAGCGAGCATCTTGATATATTTTTCAATGAAATAAAATTTTCTTTTTTTTTTATTTCAATTTTTAATTAAAGGCTATAATTAAAAGAAAGTGTATCGAAAGAGACAAATGACAAAGTCAAATGTGCGATAAGGTGTTATTCCAATAGGCAAAGGAATAATTATTAAATTATCACTTGTAACATGTAATGCGATTTTTATATCATTAGTCATAGATTAACGATTAACTTTAACAGAACTGCATTCGCGAGGTGAAGAAATCTCATGAGACGACATGCAAGCTCTTAACTCATCCGAGCGGCGACCTCGCACACAGACGCAAAGCGTCGCGAAACAATTGCGCCTTGGCCGATCGCTTTCTCTCGCCGAAGTCTTTTTACGTCGTCGACGTGATCTTTTCCTTCGCCTCTCGCTCCTCCTCCCCGCAGGCGTACTCTGCAAATTCGCGTGTTCGTGCGAATTTCCGCTCCGAGTACCGCGACGCTCTGCCAAAAATTCGCAGATGAACAATACGATGAACACTCCGGCATGTTAAACATGTGTCGAATCCGGAGAACACTCCTTTTTTTTTAACACATTTTCCCATCACCTTTTCGACAGGTACATATTTGCTTCCTGTAATCCCGAGAACTGGTAGAAACTTGTCTGAACGGCTTCGGCTTCGCGCTCTTCGTTGTGCTGCATGGAATTCAGACGAACATGTTAAATCGTCATACCTTGACTCATTAAAAAATTCTTTAGCTTTAACTTTTTCATACGGATGAATATGAGTCATTATTGTAATTTGAACTGGAAATAATCATCTTCTGCTTGGCAATATTTTTTAAAATACTCCTACATCTCGTTTTATTGTTTATTCACGATATAAATACTACCCTAACGGTATTGGATATTAATACGTACGAAGTAATAATATACCTGGATACTAGGTATTTAATATCATGTGCTATTATTTTTGCTTAGAAAGGAATCTGGTTGAGTCAGTAAGCAGATAACGCGAAAGAAAGGATTCTCAGGAACGCAAGGAAAAGCAAGGTCGAGATTATCCCATAAAAAAAGATTTAGTAGCAGTATTACTGAATATTTCATTAGAAATTTATCATTCTATGCCTCTCACCATAACTTCCGTGACGAAGTCGAACTTTGAGAGATTGATCGCGAAGTCTGGCCTTTTTTACTGCAAGTAATTTTACATTGATTAAGATATATTAGATAACATTTCACTGAATCAGATTTATATTTTTATATTAATATTTATCAGATGTTTATTCTATCTAAACATACATGCTAGTTAAATTTTATAATTTATTGCAGAATCTTATCAATTATTTTTTAGTAGAAAAACTGGAAAAATTAGAAAAATTAGAAAAAAATATCTCGTTAACGTCAGGCAAGAAATATTTAATACTTGATGTAATTTCTCAACTCGTTCGACGATGCTCTCAAGCTTTTCGAATCGTCTCTGGAACGCTTTGACTTCAGCTTCGTATGTTTCTGCGTCCTTTTATTTCGCGATACGATGGTATTGTTCCAAGAATTTCGATGTGACGTCGATGGCGGTCTCGGATCTTCCTCTTTATTCTTGTATTTATGACTGCTATCAGCGGTAAAGAAAATACTTTCTAGGTAAACGGCGCGAAGCGTTAAACCGCGTATATACCACAGCTTTATCATAAAACGCGGCATTTCATGAAGATCCTGTGACGTGGCATTTTACAAAGAGTCCGATTGCAACTGTCATCCGAGATCCTCGTGAGATGCTGCGATTCGTGACAAGTCTTCGAGAGAAACATGTTCTCGCGGGGATGACTGATCCGCATAGACATTTAGACTTAGCGAATCCAATGGACTCGAGTTCAATACAACACATTTTCACATATGTGCAGATCATATACATATACATATCTTAAGCGATAAGCATTTAAAAAAAAATTCAAGGCAAGAAATATCTCACGTTAAGAATAATGAGAAGGATAAGAATCAAGACAGGAGTTTAATCTGGATTAAGAAAGATAACTGAAGCTTGTTTTTTTTATTTATATCTTAAAAAAGAGACAAATATGTAAATCATACAAATACTGAAAATCAAATGCAATGTTACATAATCAAGCAATTTTGTAATTATTATATACATTCTTGCGTCAATTTATCTATATAATTTCTTACGTCAATCTGTTTTTACTTCCGATGCACTTTGGATTGTGACATTGTCTCGACATTTCCGATTCATTTGATTAAAGCTTGCATGTTTCTTAATCAATAATTTGCTGTAATTTTGGAGAAAAATAAGGTATAAGGTAATAGATTCAATAATATCATTTATCATTTTAAAAAACATTTTACATATTAATTAATATTGCATTATATTTTTCAAACATTCCTTTTCTTTTCATATTAAGAAAAATTAATTAAATACCACAATCTTTTTATTTTCGTTTCAATTATAAATATTATTATACACATTTTAGTCTTTTTTTATCACAGTCGCGAGAAAAACTTGTCCGAGTTTTATATCAAATTAAATTTTAACCTGAACATACATGACACAGAAGGGCACATTTTCAATCGCACCATTGCGCCTAACTTCAATTAAAAATGTCAAAAAATTTTTATCAAGTGTCTTTTTTTTTTTTTTTCTTTCGTGTCTTTATAATTTGACATGCAACTGTTTCGCGGAATGACGAAAATCTATTATCATGCTAGTTATCTGGCGATAATAATTACCGAGTTAAATAGTCCCACGTCTTCCTAAATTTCTCATCAGCTGCATGAATAATTTTAGCCTTCTGATAGAGGCTAACGAAATGTGGTCGGTCTTCCAGGAAAGTCCGCGGTGATACACTCGTGTTACGTATCGAATGCATCCTCACCCACGTGTCCCCCGCACGAATCCTGATGTGCATTG